TGCTCATAATTGATCATTATTGATCTGAGTTACAATAAAGCATTTCTTTTCTGTTGAATACTTTGAAAATGTTTCCAAACTTTTCTTCCCTTTTTCTCAGACCAGGGAATGATGGTTGGGTCAATGCTACTTGGTATAGGCTCCTCAAACCCCCCCCAGCCACAAGTCAGTTTGCTATTTTCAACACAAATAATCATATCTGTACACAAAATTCTGCTTATTCATTCAGGCATCATCTAAAAGCATCTAATTGTTCCAAGTTGTTTGTTTTAGGAATTCTGTTGATTTTCTGCATGTTGAACAGCCATATAAACATGTTATTGTCTCCTAAAAACAAACTTGCTTGTCTTGCAGGATGGAGAAAAGCTGGTAGCGTCTGTTTTGAGCAGCATACAGGCTCTGAGTGAAGTTTATGACCGCCTTCACAAAAGCCAAGGTGACTCTTAAACTGTATAAAGTCTGATTTTTATTAGCAAAACAAAGTAGATCTGAGTTACAAAAGAGCAGAGTTAGATAGTAACTAGTTATATTTACTCAGGGGTGAAAGTAAGCAGGTACGGTCGGTTACTGCGTAGCCCTAAAAAATTTAGCGGGGGTACGCAGTACCTGCAAGAGAGGGGAGCGGCCGTCTGCTGTAAAAAAAAAATCAATGGGTTCACTGAGCAGCCGTGACTGATTAGTTTTTCAAGAACAATCTAAAACACGACTTAATCATTCAATAAATAGTTTTTTTCCCCCATTTCATATTGTTTCTGAACTCTTCGTGCTTTGCTAGAGCAGGGCAGCAACACGTCGATCAGCATTAGGTGACAAACTGAACGCCGCCAGGAGGCTGAGACCAGCACGTCCTCCTCTGATTGGCTTATCAAAACGTTCGTAACTCTATAAAGACCAACAAAAATCAACAAAACGTGTTCAAATTAATGACCCAACAAAAATTATTGATTCTACAAGGTGTTGCGCAAATCTGTGCGTTTCGCTTCCATTACCAGAATAACTAGCAGAGCTGGAGTTTAAAATGAACTAATCATCCACTGCTGTATTCAGGGGAGCGCTTGTTAATGATCGCAAAATAAATATCCGGCCTGAAAACCTAATATCGTGACGGACTAAAGCCGTTTTCGCACTGCAAATAACGGAACGGCACGGAACGGGTTCAAAGTAGGGCTGACCGTGTTTGCATTAGAACTTCCGACCCGGTTCCACCCGTCTCCTTGGAACCACAAGAGCTGTGCTGCAGTAAATAAAACGTCTTACATGTCTTTTGCTTTAAATGCTTACTTATTGGAGGGTTTCTTGTTAGTGCTGCAGAGCCCAACAACAGGTAACTCCTCACTTAAGCGAATCTAACGCTCCGTTTGAGTAGTCAGTCCTGCTTTGGACTGAAGCATTGTTCTAACAATAGATGAATGACAGATTTACTAAGTTCTTTGTTTCTATTGCCTTTTTATATTGATATTGTTTAAATACAAGGGTTTCTTTCATGATTTCTTTGGGGGGGACAATTCTAGACTTTTCCAAGATTGGGGGGCCGGACCCCCCGGGATTTACCTATGCACTAAATTAGGCTTCTTTATTACCATGTTTATGTACTAAGTATTTCATAGCCAGCGGTTAGCTCGCTAAGCTAGGTCTTTTCTTACCTTGATAGCTGTGGATAAATTCTTCATGGAAGAACTTATTAAGTTTATTGCTGTGCGAATTCGCCGCTGTGACTTCCTTCGCAACAGCGCAAGAAAATGCTTGCAAATTAACCAAGGATGTTGAAAAGAGACATTGTTCCTTTTACTTGCGTGGGCTCACAAAAACAGGAAGTGTCCTAGGACCATGATAATCACCTTCCGGTTGTCGTGTTGCCTTGGAAACGGAATGCGCCAGTTACATAACATTTGTGGTGCTAATCTCTTTTCGGCATAATGAATCCTGAAAATTGTGAGGGAACTTTGGCAGTGCCTCTAGGAAAAGCACTAAACTCCATCCAGTGTATCAGAGACCGAGTAAGAGGTAAATATGACAAGTTATTTGTTGCGGAGGTAATTAAAAAAAAACCAGAACAATAACAACAGCAATTTATGCTAATTTTCAGCTAATCTTTAAAGCCGCATGGAGTGTCTCTTAAAATTCGTTTTCCTGTTTTTGTTTACTACTCTGCTATTAGTATATTCACATCAACTGTTTTATTTACCCCAACGTTGTTGTTTTCATATTTCATAGTTCCGATCTAGCAGAACATACAAAAACATATGTATGGCATGTCATTATCGTGATTAACTGCCTTTCATTTTAAACGAAAACAATATACATTTTTAGTTTTGCAGTTTTAAGATATGTAAATTAAGAAATTTTATCTGATGTCTGTTTAAATTACTGTCATAAAGCCGACATTAATTTCCGATTCTGGAAATAGCTAAAAATCTAACTAATTTTTCACTACTTTGAACCTCTTTAATTTTAAAAACTACAACTACTAATGGTGCGTTCACCACAAACGCGTTTCTCGCGTCATGCGTGTCTGGTTTACATTCAAAATCTAATTTCGAAAATCGACTTTGAATGTAAACCAGACGAGAAACGCGTTTGGTGTGAACGCAACTTTATGCTCTTAAAACCTGGCCTTTCTTATTATATACTGATAGCAAAATATTGAAAACCCAGTTTGTGAATTGCAAAACCTTTATATAATCAATTTTAGCACTGTTTCTGCATTTTATTGTACTGTAGTTTTTAAGCTACAGCAAATTAAAGATGTTCAATGTAGTGAAAAATTAGGTGAAAATGCCATTTCCTAAATGACAATCTACGATCATCAGCCAAATTCATCTTCGACAAGAGGTTCACATGAAGTGTGCCAAACAGCCTCTAAAAATCCAGAGTACTTTGAAAAAAGAAAAAACAACAGATAAAATACATTGATTTTTTTAAAGTCTTCATCAGTAAAAAACTTGTAGCTGCTGAGTTTGCTGGTGAATAAAAGTATTAGATTGGTGAATATGTAAAATATCAAAAACAATTTAACTTGTATAGGTTAAATACAAGTTCATACAAATACAAATAGAAACAGCCTGTCTCTGCTTCTATTTATTATGTGTTTGATGCTTAGTACTGAAACATGTTCTCATGAGGCAGAATCAAGTAGAAAGAGTGTTTTCTGTATTGTTTCCTCTAGATGGAGAATCAAGTGATCATGGTGGAGCATTCAATTTCTCCTTGATCTGGGAAAGTTTGAGTTGAGTTTTCTTATCAAATCTACATTTTCTAGACCCCATGTAGCTTAAAGTGACCTCCCTTTTTTGTCACAGACCCTTTTTGCGCAATAAAATGAGATACACCAGTGCCGGTTGTTTCAGAATAGTGCTCATTTACGACATTTTATCATCACACATTACAATAAAGCATTACCTGACTTTTACATATAAATGTAATTTCAAATCTATTGAATATTTTGAAAATGTTTTCAAACTTTTCTTCCATTTTCCTCAGACCAGGCACTGGAGGCAATGT